TATATATATATATATATATATATATATATATAAAACTTTCTTTTTAAAATTCTCAACCCTCTTATATTTACCGTATTGTCCCGAATATAAGACGATGTTTTTTTCTTGGAAATACATCTGAAAAAACGCGGTCGTCTTATATTCAGGGTCTAGACTTTGACATGTCAATATACACCCACAACAATAGGTGGCGCCAAATATGCATAAAACGAGTGTGCCATGAAATATGTAATGTAATGCGTGTTGTAAAGATCGTGAGTAAAAACAAAAGAAAAAGAAAAGCTTACGGCTGCATGAGTCGTGACTGTCACGTTAGCCTGATGGGACCAAACTCCCTTTGTGATTTTAAAACGTAAGACAGTACCCAGATTTGAAGACTACAGTAAGATTTAACTTCTACTGTTAATAAGATTTTGGTAGGCTACTATTAGATGGATAGCCTAAATGTCCTAATTCAGATGGGCTACCTGTTGTTGTTTTTTTAATGGTATATCAAAAAGTGTATATTTTTGAAATGTGATTGTTGGTACATTTTACCAGTTTTTACCATACTTTCAAAAATTAAAATAGGAAAAATATGCAATATGAAAATAATTGAAGACAAAATGTGTTTTACTGAGAAAAAACAAGATTTGGTTTTTAAAAAGCTTTTTTCCAAAAAAAGGTACATCTGGAAAAAGGGGGGTCGTCTTATAATCAGGGTCGTCTCATATTCGGGCCAATACGGTAATTGTGATTTAGTTTTTTTATCTTACAATTTGGACTTTATTTCTGAGGTAAAACGTCTGAATTGCGAGATATAAACTCCTATCGCAAGAAGAAAAATCAGAATTGTGAATAAAAGGAGAATTTCGGAGTAAACTCGGAATTCTAAGAACAAAGTAACAATTGCTTTTTAAAATGTTTTACTCCAGGGCAGAAACTGGCTTTCATAAATAACAGCTTAGTGTATCTTTTGTCCTTAAAAATAACATTTCCCCGTATTGTCCTTCATAAATGGTGGTTAGGTATTGCACAAGTCATCAAGATATCCCACGTCTGCCAGTAGATGGAGCTGGTCCTTTAGCTCCTCAGTCCTGACAGATTTGATTAAATCAGGAACAGAAAGCGTGACACTCGTCTGTCTCTCTGCTTTCCTCTCAGGCGGAGCTCAGATCACCATGTCCAACGTCTATGGAGTTCAGATCGGCAACAACAACAGCATGAATATTGTTCAGAAACCGCGGCAGAGGCACCGAACGGCTCCTTCCAGCGTCGGCAGGTCTTACTCAAACTCGGAGAACTCACAGAAAAAACCTCAGTGACATCTTCACACAGGAATCAGCTCTCGTTCAGCTCTCAGGAGTTGAGTGTTTTAGACTATAACCGAGTCAAAGGGAAATAGAATTTTAATGCGGCTGAAAAATATTCAGGCCTAAATTTAAGATTTATGTATTTGAACCGCATATAAAATATCCATGCATTTGGATTACACAGCATAACATTAACTAACCAATAAACTTAATGAGATGCATATTTGTTAGTCATGCATAAAGTCAGATTAATAATAAACTATGCAATGTTTTTGTTACTTGAAATAAACGTAATTGAATTAGTGTTATATATATGTATAATGTTTTGTATAAATTGTATATTTTTATATGCACTTTATTTTTTTAAATGCATTTTATTTTCTAATTCTCAATTTAATTTAGTTTAACCTGACTTAACACTAAAACTGAAATAAAAATGACTGAGCATAGAAATTGTATAGAAGAAAAAAAAACAATAATAAATATGACAAAAAAACACAATAAAATGAATACAAATGTAATTACAATTAAAGTGAGAAAGGAAAGTACAAAAAATAAAAACTAATACAAAATATGAATTAAAACTATAATAGTATCTCTATGATCATAAAATAACACTGGTGCAGAAATCGTACCTGTTTCTGTTTCATTTATGTAAGACTAACAAATATGAATCATATTAAGTTTATTGCCCAAAGTTAAAACTGCATAATCCAAATGAATAGAAATTTTATATGCAATTCAAATACGTAAGTCTTAAAAGCAAGTGTAAATATTCTGAGTGAATGGAGGTGAAACCAGCGAAGAACAACTCAAGTTTGACCTCAAAATCGAAAGAAAGAAATAAGCATATATTTTGCATACAGAAAATCTATTTTTAGAACCAGTTTTTTTTTTTTTTGCATTGTGACATTTTCAGGACAATTATATATATATATATATATATATATTTAAATCTTCATCATCCAATTGCCAGTAGATGTAATAATAAAATAAAATAATAAATAGGTTTCATAAATTTAATGTGAAAAATATTTACATTTAGATACATCATGGTAGTGGCTTTTGAACTGAATTTTTATTTATGCTGATTTTCACCACTGTGTTACATTTGCATTATATTAACGAATGGGCTTAATTGTCACAATGCAAAAACAAACAAATAAATAAATACATGATTTGATTTTGGAGTGAAATTAACATACGATTCCGAACACATGCATATCTGTGAGCACTGTGGTATGCGACAATCAACTACTGTAACTAGCTACAAAGTACGTTGCTTACCTTTAAATAAATGTTTATATTGTTTTCCAAGATTTGACTGCATGTGTTGTTGGACACTCCCGGCGTTTTAATATCAGATGGCGGAGGATCCATCACGCTAATCAGGAGTGACAGTTCGTGCCGTTCAGTCAGCGGGATCCTGGCGTTCAGAACGATCTCCATCTGTCCCGCCGGAATCTAACGGGCACGGATCCGCTCGTGCCGCATCTCTCCCGGTGATCCGTGGAATGAGCGGGTGGATGCAGAAATAACTGACGGTAGTTCCCTTCAAAACCATCGTCAGCGCTGCAAAGTCCTGTAGCTTCACATGCAGAAGTGCAGTTTTGTTGTGCTTGTTAAGTGTAGTTCTGACGACTCACTTTCCTGCGAATTCGTAGCTATTTTACGGTTTTTGCAAAACTCGTGTGAATTCGATCTGCAACGCACGGTTATGGATGGACCTTAAAGGAACAGTTCACCCAAAATGGAAAGTGTAATAATTTACTCACTTTCAAGTGTGGTTCCAAACCTGTATGAGTTTCTTTCTTCTGTTGAACACAAAAGAAGATATTTTGAAAAATGTCAGTAAGAGTTGACGGTAGGTAACCATTGACTTCCATGGACCCTTTTCACGAGACTGTGATGACAGGCTTCAATGGTCATCAGCATCATAAATCCTTCAAAGTTTTTTTTTTTTATATTTAGATTTTTTTTTTTAAATGTATGTACATTTATAACAGTATACTTTGTATTATAGCACCTTTGCATCACATTACAAGAAAAAAAAAAAAAAAAAATGGTTAAAGCTAATGCAAGGGGAGGCCCGTTAAAAATGAACCA